ACACGAGTCACACGGGTAGCGGGCGTACTCCAAGCGCCGCCAGCTGTCAACCAACTCACGTGCAGGCGCTCGACAAACCAAGGTCCGGAGCGCCAGACACCGTCGAAGACTGGTGTCGAGGCCGCGTTCCACGAAGCGGCGGATGCGTGCGGGCGCGCGCCCACCGGGCGGGATCGATCCAGGCGATCGAAGGCCTTGGAGCGCATCATGGAAGCGTCCAGCCGCGAGCGCGTCGGATCCCAATTGGGGACCGTCGGGGAGACAACCCGCGCGGTGGAGGTCCGCAAGCCCCAGGCCGGTGCGGGAGGCCGAGGCGGAGAGGGCAGCAAAGGGCGGGCGGGCGACCAGAGGTGACGGCCCGCGCCGGCCGTGCACCAGGTGGAGCCCAAGCGGCGCCTTTGTGCGGAGCGTAGGCCGCTGGGCGGGGGCGCCGTGGCGAAGTAGGCCATGACAATGAAACGCCTCCGACGCGCCTGAACCCAGGAGCCGGTGGCGGTGGCAGAGCGTCGAAGGGGCCCCGAGCAGCCCACGCTGGGCGGGCGGCAAGGGGGGCGGCCCGTCGCCAAGGAGCGAGGAGCCACAAGGTAGACCAGCGACGAGGGTGCACTGGTGGGCAAGGCGCGAGCCGACAGTCCCAGCCGGGGCACGCGCCTGGAAGTATTGGGCGCGAAGCCAAGGCGGCCCCCAGGAGGGCCGTGGGGAGGGCGGGCGAGGGGAACAGCAGGCACGGGCGGGGGAGGAAGCGCGCAGAGCGCGGGAGGCCGGCCGGAAAGCCGTTACCAAAAGCAGGGGGGCGACAAGGGTCGCGAGCATGGGTTGGGAGGACGCACAGGCGACGAACGGTCGCGATGTACTTGTGCAGAGTGGAGGCCGCGGTGCTGAGCGAACCTGTGGTGGACGAAGACGCCGTGAGCAAGGCTGAGCCGAAGACAAAGGCGCGCCGTAGGAGTAGCGGCGCCTCTGGTAGGCGATGCTGTGGGCGATGCCGTCGGAGCGGCCGTTGGTGCAAATGTAGGAGAAGCTGTGGGCGAAGCCGTAGGGGCAGCTGTAGGAGCAAACGCCGGCGGATCCGTCGGTGACGGCGTAGGCGAAGCACACGGCGCTGCTGTAGGCGATGCCGTGGGCGATGCCGTCGGAGCAGCCGTTGGTGCAGCTGTCGGTGAAGCTGCGGAAGCAGGTGTCGGGAGGCCATCGGTGACGGCGTAGGCGAAGCCGACGGCACTGCGACGCCGACGGAGTAGCCGTTGGTGCAGCTGCCCGTGGGAACAGGTGACGGTGAGGCCGTCGGCGACGGCGTAGGCGAAGCCGTCGGCGCTGCTGTAGCTGAACACACACACTTGTCCCGAACCGTCATTGACGCAGGATACCTCACCACGTTGCCGTCGGCGCCTCCAGGGGGTGGCGCTAACGGCCACAAGCACTGGGTTAAAATGGCCGCCGATGTCGCATCTCGCACCAACTGAATTCACACCCTTGTCCCGAACCGTCATTGACGCAAGATACCACCTCACTGGGCGGGGCACTGCTGGGCCAGTCAAAGGGTCTCACTCGGGCATTGCCGGGCCTCGGGTGGATGGAGTCCCCATCACTATCCAGGAGGACCTGGATGCCTCCCCCGAGGTCGACAAGTTCCAAGTTTTCAAACAAGAACGGGGGGCGCTGGGGCCTCCAGGGGGAAATGCTGCGGGAAAGGGGCCCTCCTGCGCCCTGCCGTCAGTCTACGGCAACTTCCTCTGAAGCAGCCGTCGAGATCGATGCGCCCGTCTGGGGCAGCTTCCTCGGCGGCCCTCCTCCTCTCTCCGGAGTGGGGGAGAAGAATCGTCGGCGTGATGTCGTATTCCTCGGCGCCGCGCCCGCGCGGTGGAGGCGAGGATCATCCGTGCGGGGGGGCCTCTGCTGGGGGTTGACGCTGCTGGGTTTATTTTTTTTTTGGGGGGGTCGGCGGCCGCGCGACAACGGTCTGGCGGCGAGAGGCAAAGTCTGGGGCGCGCGGCACGATGCGAATTTGCGAACACCGCCGCCACGTTGGCAAGCCGGCTCGCACCTGCACAACAAGTGCGCAGTTGCAGATGCACAGAACAAAATAAACTAAATTCACAAGCGAACGCACATAGGCGCCGCAGTGTGAACCGAGGTGGACAAGCGGCAGAGTGTGCGAATCAGAAGGAAACCGAGGGCTGTACAGGCGTAGCAGGCTGAACCGCACGGCGCCCAAACCTCAGTAATCCGCTTCCCAATGCCAGGTGGGGCCATGCGGCTGTGCCCAAGGCGCAAGTGCGATGCCGATCCCTGAAGCGAAGGGATCCGCAGGCGTGGGGAGCACCGCCGCCTAGTAGTGAAGCGCCTGCGCAGCCTGCCAGGGGGGGTCCTGCTGCAGTGGAGGCAAGTGGGAGGCCGGAGGAGTGAGTCGCCTGCGGGGCGCCAGACTCCGAACACGCTGCTGGATTTACTTTTTGATCTGCGGCTCCAAGGACGATTCCAGAGAGCGGGTCGCATCGAGCATGGGGCAGCACGCAAGATAATTGCCAGCGGGCCAAAAGCCGACGCTGGAGTGCACAGGCGCCAGAGAGAGCGCGGGGGGGGGAAACGCTTTTGACCGCGGCCCCAAGGGCGAATCCAGAGAGCGGGCCGGAACTGATTGCCAGCGGGCCAAAGCCAACGCCGGAGAGCGCCTGCGCCAGAGAAGGCGTAGCAAGCTTGGGGGGCCAAGCGAGATACTTACCAGCGGACCAGGGGCCAACGCTGGGATGCAAGTGCGAAGCGAGATAATACCAGCGGGCCAGAAGCCACCACCGGATGCACATGAGAGGGATATAGCGAAGAGGCCCGGCAGAGCCAGACGGCGAGCAGGAAGAACCAGCGGGCCAAAAGCCATCGCCGGAGTAAACCTGCGGGGGGGGAATGAACCGCGCGCCGACGCCCGGCACACGGAGAAAGCGAAGCATTAACCCTCGCTCACGGAGGAACTAAGGCTCATGGACAGCTGCACGTCACCAGTAACTTAAGCACCACTGAACACGGACATCAGACGACATGCAACGAGGGGGGCGTGGTCCTTCCCGCCAAGAGCACCAAGTAGAGGTGAGCCCGGGCGGGCAAAGACCGCGTCCGAAAACGATGCCCGCGATGAAGCCGTCGCAAGCGTCTGCCAAGGGGCGGAGAGGTGGAACGATGGGGCGGGCCTTAGGCCGACGTACCCATGCGCTCGAACGCGCCGGCGGGCGAGGCGGGCCCATGCTCGAGAACGCGGCCAAATCCCGCCGCGTGCGTGGATTATTTCAGCCGGCGCCACACGGGCTAAGTCACGGTGCACCGTGAAAGACAAGTCGCAACCATGCCATAGTGGTGCCCCACATCCAGGGGGGGAATGCAGGGAGAGCCACGACCTGTCGCTGAGTGAAACAACCACGACGAACGCCCTGTTGTGATTGTGGAACGAAGGGGCGGGCCTTAAGCCGACGTGCCCAGCCGCTCAAATGCCCGGGCGGGCGAGTTTTTTTTTTTTCTGCGCACGCCCCCCAGCAGCGCGAAAGCGGGACTGGCAGTGCCTGCGCCAGCAATGCCGTCTTCGCGGCGAAGAGCCGCGGCTTGCCCGGCAGAGGGGCATGAACGGGGGGGTGAGACTGCACAAGGGAGAGAAGGAAAAAGGGGGGGGGCTCAGAGGTCTGAGGTCTGAGCCCTCAGACTCGCCCTCCGAATCAGGCGCCGGGATAGCAGGACTCTGTGCACGCATGCCAGTCGTGCGGCCCCCGCAGAGGCTGCAGTCGTGCAGTGCTACTCTGATATTATGCCTGGCATCCGGGTGCACCCAGCGGAAATGAGTGCAGTGCGTAGGTGGAGATCGTGCTCGAGCGAACATCTAAGACGCACCTGTTCACTAAGAAGTGCAGACACGGGAACGGGATGAGTCCCCTCAGCGGGATGTCGCACACGGAGGCCTTGATGTTGTTCGGGATTCGCACTGCCTCGCTCTCGGACATCTCCTGGATCGCAGTGGAATTGCTCGAGATCCACTCCGCCACATGCTTGAACATCGCCTGGATTGCCGCGGAGTTGTTGGCCAAAGCCGCCGTCTCGGGTCCCTCCAGCGGGATGTCGCGCAGGGAGGCCGTGATGTTGATCAGGATCCACTCCACCATGTGCTCGGGCATCTCCTGGATCGCCGTGGAGTCGTCGGCGAAGGCCGCCATCCTGAGGTCCTTCACCAGGATGTCGTTGATGCTGTTCGGGGTTCACTTCGCCACGCGCCTGAAAGTCTCCTGGATCGTCGTGGAGTTGCCTGCGAAGGACGCCTTGATGTTGTTCGGGATCCGCTCCACCACGCCCTCGAACATCTCCTGGATCGCCGTGTAGCCGTAGGCCAAGGCTGCCATCTTGAGGTCCTTCAGCGGGGTGTCACACAGGTGGGCATTGATGTTGTTCGGGATTCGCTTCGCCACGCTCTTGAACATCTCCTGGATCGTCGTGGAGTCGCTGGCGAAGGACGCCTTGATGTTGTTCGGGATCCACTCCGCAACGCTCTCGAACATCACCTGGATCGCCGTGGAGTCGTCGTCGACGGCCGCCATCTTGAGGTCCTGCAGCGGGTCGTTGCACACGGAAGCCTTGATGTTGCTCGGGACATGGTCCGCCACGAGCTCGAACATCTCCTGGATCGTCGTGGAGTTGCTGGCGAGGCCCACCACAATGTCGGGGTCCTTCAGCGGGATGTTGCACTCGGAGGCCTTGATGTTGTTCGGGGCCTGGTCCGCCACGAGCTCGAAAATATCCTGGATCGTCGTCGAGTTGCTGGCGAGGGCCACCGCCATGTCGGGGTCCTTCAGCGGGATGTCGTACTCGGAGGCCTTGATGTTGTTCGGGGTCTGGTCCGCCACGAGCTCGAACATCTCCTGGGTCGTCGTGGACTTGCTGGCGAAGGCCACCACCATGTCGAGTTCCTTCAGCGGGATGTCGCACACGGACGCCGTGATGTTGCTCGTGATCCACTCCGCCACGCTCTCGAACATCTCCTGGATCGCCGCCGAACGAAATTGAGGCACATCCCCTGGAACCAACGCGAGCACCGAACTACAGTGAACTGATAAGCACAGAAGCTCAAGCGGATAAGGAACAGGTTCAGCACCCGGGCGCACTCAAAGCCCCGATTAGCATCCTGAAGCCCGCCAGCCCCACACTGGCAGCCCCCCCTAAGACGACGCTGTTGGCCGCCTGCCAATGTAGACACCGAACAAAATGAACGTGTGAATTCAGCATGCACGAGATCTTCGTGACGCCTTCCATCAGCTCGAAGACGCGGAGCCCCGCGCCTCTGGCCCTGCCGCTCCTGGAAGCACGAACGGCTTCTTCGTGATCTCCTTGAAGGTCTGCATGCATGCAGCCTGCTGCTCTTTCGTCAGCGTTGTGGCGCCGAGCCGGACGGCCCACGCACCCTCCTGATGATTCCACTCGGGCAAACCAGCAAGGAGCTGCCCCGCACCGTCGGACATCCACTGCGGCAGGGCTGCGAACCTCTGCCGCGCCGGCTTCTTCCTCAGAGCCTGGGCCTCCACCAGGGCCTGCGCATTCTGCTCGATGGACTCCTCGATGCGCATGCCGCGGTCCTCGCCGCTCGGCTCCATCTCCTGATCGCCGCCCGCCGCAGGCGGCTGCAACCAAGAGACGTCATCGCCCTCCTCCGTCTCCTCCATGGTCGGCCCGGCCGCCGCCAGCACCTCGCCGCCCCCGCTGCGCGGCGCCGGCAGCTCCAGCCTCCTCCTTTTGTTGTCTTCATTGTCAGAGTCGTCCGCCTGGCGCACCGCCAGGGCCTTCTTCTTAAGCCTCTTCCGCTGCCGCCGGGATCCGGCCGATCCGGCGGCAGCGGGATCAGGGGCGCCCCGCGCTGGACCATCGCCGCGCCGCGTCGCCGCCATGACCGAAGTGGCCACGGCAGCCACGGCGGCTGCGACTGTCCTGCGCGGGGCGCCAGCCTGTGCAGCAGCGCGGACCGCCGCCTCCGCGAGAGAAGCAGCCATCGCGGCGCCGCCGTCGCCCCCCATCCCGCGCGCGCCGCCCGAGGGGGCCCGGCGCGCACGCTTGAGCCCGCGGCTTGAAGCCGTGGAGCCGTCGTCGACGGACGCCATCTTGAGGCCCTTCAGCGGGGCGTTGTACAGGGAGGCCTTGATGTTGTTTGGGGTCCACTCCGCCACGAGCCTGAAAATCTCCAACGCAGCGCCCGCCAGAAAATTTCGTCGGGCACGGCCCGGCACGGTGCGCTTCGAGCGTTTCGCCGTGGGACGCCTTGGTGCTGTTCGGGATCCACTCCGCCATGCTCTCGAGCATCTCCTTGATGCCCATGGAGTTCATGGCGAAGGCCACGACCATCTTGAGGTCTTTCAGCGGGATGTCGCTCACGGACGCCTTGATGCTGTCCGGGATCCACTCCGCCACGCGCTTCAAACACTCCTGGATCGTCGTGGAGTTGCCGGCGGCGAAGACCACCGCCATCTTGAGATCCTTCAGCGGGATGTCGTACTCAGAGGCCATGATGTTGTCCAGCGGGATGTTGTGCAGGGGGGCCTTGATGCTGTTCGGGGTCCACTTCGCCACGAGCCTGAACATCTCCTGGATCGCCGTGGAGTTGCCGGCGACGGACGCCTTGATTGATGCTATTCGGGATCTACTCCGCCATGCTCTCGAACATCTCCTGGATCCTCGCGGAGTTGCTGGCGCAGGCCACCACCATCTTGAGGTCCTTCAAAGGGATGTCGCTCACGGACGCCTTGATGCTGTTCGGGATCTACTCCGCCATGCTCTCGAACATCTCCTGGGTCCAGTTGCTGGCGAAGGCCGCCGCCGTCTTGAGGCCCTTCTGCGGGATGTCGCTCGCGGACGCCTCGATGTTGTCCGGGATCCACTCCGCCACGCGCTTGAACCCTTCCTGGATCGTCGTGGAGTTGCTGGCGAAGACCACCGCCATCTTGAGATCCCCCAGGGGAAGTCGTACTCGGGGGCCTTGATGTTGTTCGGGATCTGGTCCGCCATGAGCTGGAATATCTCCTGGATCGTCGCGGAGTTGCCGGCAAAGGCCACCGCCATTTCGAGGTCCTTTAGCAGGATGTCGCACACGGACGCCTTGATGTTGTTCGCGATCCACCCCGCCACGCTCTCGATCATCTCCTGGATCGACGTGGAGTAGTCGTCGACGGCCGCCATCTTGAGGCCCTTCAGCGGAATGTCGCACAGGGAGGCCTTGATGTTGTTCGGGGCCCACTCCGCCACGAGTCTGCGCATCTCCTGGGAAGCCGTGGAGCTGCCGGCGAAGATCGCCTTGATGCTGTTCGGGATCTACTCCGCCATGCTCTCGAACATCTCCTGGATCCCCGGGATGTCGCACTCGGAGGCCATGATGTTGTTCGGGATCTGGTCCGCCACGAGCTCGAACATCTAATGGATCGTCGTGGAGTTGCTGGCGAAGGCCACCGCCATTTCGAGGTCCTTCATCGGGCTGTCGCACACGGACGCCTCGATGCTGTTCGTGGTCCACTCCGCCGCGCTCTCGAACCTCTCCTGGATCGCCGTGGAGTCGTCGGTGAAGGCCGCAGTCTTGAGATCCTTCGGCGGGATGTCGCTCACCGACGCCTTGATGGTGTTCGGGATTCGCTTGGCTACGCGCTTGAGCGTCTCCTGGCTCGTCGTGGAGTTGCTGGCGAAAACCGCCGCCATCTTGATATCCTTCGGCGGGATGTCGTACAGGGAGGCCTTGATGTTGTTCGGGATCTAGTTCGCCACGCTGTCGAACATCTCCCGGATCGCCGCGGGGCCGTCGGCGACGGCTGCCACCCTGAGGTTCTTCAGCGGGATGTCGCGCACGGACGCCTTGAAGGTCGCCGCGATCTCTGGGGCGGGGATCGGCAAGGCTATCTTCTCGGCGAGGCTGCTCGGTGCCGGGCCCCCGATGACGACGCTCAGCGGCTCCATCGCGACCTCGCCGGGGCTGCTGCGGCTGCTGCTGCTGATGCTGCTGCCGCTGCCGTTGTCGCTGCTGCTGGTGTAGTTGCTGTTGCCGCTGTCCGCGGTGAAGGTGCTGGCGCTCGCGGCGTTCGGCCAGTCGCCGGCGCCAACCACGCTGCAGTCACAAGCGCAGCCTGTCGCCAACAGCGCTGCATATGCCGGTGCCAGATCGGGATCAGCGAGCGGGGCAGCCGCGCCGGCCGCTGCAAGCGGCGGCGGCGGCAGCGCAGGCAGGCGCCGGGGTTCAGCAGGTAGCCGTCGCGCGCGCGCAGCTCGTTGGGGCACTCCCAGGCAGGGTTCACCTCTTCGCGCAGGCCCGGGCCGAAGCGCTCGAATCGTCTCCGGGCCAGCTCGGCGCGCAAGGGGCCCTCGCGGGCCATCTCGGCCGATTGGGCGGGGCGAAGCCGCCCCCCATGGGCGACGATCCGCCGAAGATGCGCGATGCTGCGCAGCAGCTGTCGGATCCGGGCGCGGGAGAGGCAGGCCCGCGTCCGCCGCGGCCCGCGGCGGCAGGCAGCAGTCCATCCCCGCCTCCGCCCCGAGAATGGAACCAAGGGGGAAGCGACCGTGCCGGACGACCACCTGATGCGCCTTCGTTTTGCGCAGCTCGAGGGCCGCGCTTTCCGCCGGCCGCCGCGGCGGGGCGAAGAAGTGGATGCCCGGGTCGAGCGTGAGTTCAGCGTCGCCGAAGTCGCCGCGGCACAAGGCGACGCGGCGCCGGTGGAAGCGCCCCCGCGTACGAATAGATAGCGCTGGGCCCGATCGCGCGAAAGCGCACGCCATGCCCTCGAGTTCGGCCATGGCCCCCTCGTAGATGTCCTCGCCGCCCGGTCGCTGAAAGCAGGCGTGGGCGCCCGCAGCCCTGACCCCTTGGCGCTGGAGGGTGGCCAGGCAGAAGGCGAGGGTCTGGCGGTCAGACCGCTCACCGAGGTGCGGATCCCAGATCCCCGCGGCGTCGGTGGTGTCCCGGAGCCAAGGTCGCAGCAATCGATCGAAGCTCCATCCGACGTCGTTGCGGCGGATGTCGATCGTTGTAGCGGGCCTGGAAGGTTGTTCGGGATCCACTCCGCCACGAGCCTCAGCCTCTCCTGGATTATCGAAGGGTCGCCGGCGACGGCTACCACCATCTCGAGGTCCTTGAGCGGGATGTCGTACCCTGAGGCCTTGATGTTGTTCAGGATCCACTCCGCCAAGCGCCCGATCATCTCCTGGGTCGCCGCGGGGTTGCAAGCCACGGCTATCATCTTGGGGTCTCTCAGCGGGATGTCGCACACGGCGGCCTTGATGCTGTTCGGGAACCACTGCGCCACGAGCTTCAAACGCTCCAGGACCGTCGAACATCTCCTGGATTGTCGTGGAGATGCTGGCGAGAGCCAACGCCATGTCCAGGTCCTCCAGCGGTATGTTGTACTCGAAGGCCTTGATGCCGTTCGGGATCTGGTCTGCCACGAGCTCGAACATCTCCTGGATCGTCGCGAAGTTGCCAGCAAAGGCCGCGACCACGTCGAGGTCATTCGGCGGGATGTCGCACACGGACGCCTTGATGTTGTTCGTGATCCACTTCGCCACGCTCTCGAAACTCTCCTGGATCGCCGTGGAGTGGTCGTCGACGGCCGCCATCTTGAGGTCCTTCAGCGGAATGTTGTAAAGGGGGGTCTTGATGTTGATCGGGGCCCACTCTGCCACGAGCCTGAACATCTCCTGGGTCGCCGCGGAGTTGCCGGCGAAGGACGCCCTGATGCTGTTCGGGATCCAACCCGCCATGCTCTCGAACATCTCCTGGGTCCCCGTGGAGTTGCTGGCGAAGGCCACCACCATCTTGAGGTCCTTCAGCGGTCTGTCGCTCACGGACGCCTTGATGATGTCCGCGCCCCGCTCCGCCGCGAGCTCCAACCCCTCCTGGGTCGTCGTGGAGTTGCTGGCGAAGACCGCCACCATCTTGAGATCCTTCGGCGGGATGTCGCACTCGTAGGCCTTGGTGTTGTTCGGGATTTGGTCCGCCACGAGCTCGAACATCTCCTGGATCGTCTTGGAGGCGCTTGCGAAGGCCACCCCCACGTCGAGGACCTTCAGCGGGATGTCGCACACGGACGCCTTGATGTTGTTCGCGGTCCACTCCGCCACGCTCTCGAACCTCTCCTGGATCGCCGTGGAGTCGTCGTCGTCGGCCGCCATCTTGAGGTCCTTCAGCGGGATGTTGTACAGGGAGGCCTTGATGTTGTTCGGGATCCACTCCGCCACGAGCCTGAACATCTCCTGGGTCGCCGTGGAGCTGCCGGCCGGCGTAGGACGCCCTGATGCTGTTCGGGATCCAACCCGCCATGCCCTCGAACATCTCCTGGATCCCCGTGGAGTTGCTGGCGAAAGGCACCACCATCATGAGGTCCTTCAGCGGGATGTCGCTCACGGACGCCTTGATGTTGCCCGGGATCCACTCCGCCACGAGCTTCAACCCCTCCTGGATCGCCGTGGAGTTGCTGGCGCAGACCACCACCATCTTGAGATCCTTCCGCGGGATGGCGTGCTCGGAGGCCCTGATGTTGTTCGGGATCTGGTCCGCCACGAGCTCGAGCACCTCCTTGCTTGATCGTCGTGGAGTTGCTGGCGAAGGCCGCCGCCATGTCGAGGTCCTTCGACGGGATGTCGCACACGGACGCCTTGACGTTGTTCGCGATCCACCCCGCCACGCTCTCGAACATCTCCTGGGTCGCCGTGGAATCGTCGTCGACGGCTGCCATCTCCGGCACGCGCGGCGCCCGCGCG